TCTGGGGCCCCAATCTCAGGATTTCCATTTCCTTAGACTACCTAGGAAAAAACGAGTAAAGTAGTTTTAGCCATTGGACACTCACTATGGTAGATTTTGCAGCAGAACCACCTTCTTGATGAGTCTGCCACATATGGAGTGCACAGCATTAGAAGCCGTTATCACATATATTCCGGTAACTTTTGTTTTACATAAATATTCTGTCACTTTTATCAAAATGGTTTGTTATCCTTGATTTGTTTTTCCCAACATTGTATAAATAGGATATCCACTCATTTTGTAAGCTATTTAGGTCAGCCTTCCAGAGGCAGTAAAATAGATGATGAATTTCAAAGTTACGTACAAAATAGTTTAGCAGCCCAATATTTTTGAAAGGCATATTGTTTTACGTAGAAAATAACATGAAACAAATGTTTTCTCACTATTGATAGACTCACACCTTTACTGACACCGTATTCTTTTATTAGTTGACGTTGATCAGTTATTCCGGAAAATATATTCAAGGTTGTATTAACTGACCTTTGCTGACTCTATGTGTCTGTGGAAGTTTATCTGTATTTCATAATATCTGACTTTAGGATTTAACGTGTTAACCAACTATTGAATCTGGTTTATATGTCATTTTATGTAACATATCCTTTGAAATATACACAATCAGGGCCAAGACTCTCGTGTTCCTTGTCTCCTCTCTGTCTTCGTCTTTATACCTATGGACCAAAAGTGCATGGGCCTGGTATCCTGGATCATATTGATTATGCAGATTACATTGATTAGTCTTTTAATCATTTATACTTCTTAATTGCTTCTGCATCTGGCAGAAAACATTAGATGCAGGCATTAATATTTTGTTATACAAGTCACAGGAGAAATTTAGTAGAAATTCTTTGTGTTTGTGACAGAAGTGAGTAAAGGTAATACATTTTTTTTTTTAATGTGTCTCCAAATGCCAATGTCTGCCCAGGAAGAAGAAAAGGACATTTGTCCCAACGTTTGCATTATTTCCTAAATATAGAACTCTTTGGATGATTTTTAATTTAACAACTATTTTTTGAAAAAACTTAATGCATATAACATTTAAATAAAGAAAAACATAATTTATATAACTAAACAAAGTTAGTGCTCTATGAGTAAATACTAACAGATCATTCACCTGTAAGTGCCTACAGCTTTCCTAATTTAAGCTTGGGGCTACATTCTGGATTCACACATTCTTTGCCCAAAGGTAAATTATTGTTAAAAGGTAAAGAGAATATCCATTCAGCTGTTTTTGGGTGAGGATATAATATATTTTAGCCATACAAGTAGTGTAAATTTTAGTGTGTACCTTTTTATTTTAGATGAATTTAGAAACTGAAGCCTGACCTATACAGATTACTTAAGTTAAAAATGGTTTGCCAAATGTAAATATGGTCATCTGAAGAATGATAGATTAAACATAAAATTCAATATTTGAAATCGATTTCTTTTGCTTTTAAAGAAAAAGGTATCACCTAGGGGAAAAATGTGTCTTCTCAAATCAAAGTTTAGATTATACACTGTAATACAAAATGTTACCTTAAAAGAAATATAAATCTTAAGTTCGAAAACGAAAAAGTAAGCAATGAAATAACACTCAACATGTGTTAGTATCACTGTTATTTCAGGAAGCAAAGTAAAAGAGGGTGTGAACATTTCTATACATCAACATTCACAAAAGTATCTTTGTAATGTAGTGGGTATAAGAGTGACTTGATAGGACTTCAGAAAAATGTAAATCTCTGTGATTTCTACCAGAGATTCTGACTCATTAGTATGCAGTAGGGACCAACAATCTGTGTTTTAAATAAACAAATCATATAATACAGAGACCACTTCAAGACTCACTGATAGGGGAATGATTTTCTGTTTTTCCATGTATGTGGGCTTTCTTTAATTTTAAAATCAAATATGTGTCTAAGTATTGATATTATTTATTTTAGAAATTGACTTAATTACACCAAAGGAAGTTTTGTTGTTGTTTTGTTTTGCTTTTTGATGAGTCATCACAGATATTGGGAAATAATTCCCAACATTAGAATTAACGTATAACACATATTTTTCAAGTGACTGCTATTCGTTTGTTACTTTGCTAAGCTATGGCAACCAAAATGTTAAAAATCCTTGCTTTCTGAGGGTGTTTAATCTGGCTAGGTAATTAAAGCACCTAGATCAAAATGTTAAAGAGTCTAAAAGATTATAAGATGGTATATTCTAAGACTCTCAAGACCCCATTGGTAAATAGAGACCATTAGATTAGGAATCAGAAAACATGACTTCGGTTACTCTCTGTGCCTCCTAACAGTTCTCCGCTGTGTGTAAGTCTTTTAACATTTGCACTGAGTCTACCTTGTATCCATTACAATTAGTATGAAAATATTCCACTTTTACAAATCACTAGCTTACAGTGGGATATGTGTGCAATAATCTGTATAAAATATCATGTTATAAATAATTTAATAAATATATGATAATATGATTTTTAAGGGTTTTAGGAGCTAAAAGCTAAAATATATTAAAATGCTGAGGTAATAGAAGAATATATGGGAAAATTAATGCAAAGAAAAGATTTGAACAACTAGAAAAATGGTGAGCACAGCTGGTTATGAAAAAGTGTAATTCTGAGATACTCTTGGGAAAATTCTCAAAAATATTTGTAATATTAAAGCAATATTAGAGAGGTCTCCCACACGCTATAATTTAAGGCATTATTTTAATAGTCTATATGTTCTTTTTATTGTCAGGGTTATTCATTACCTATATATATAAAACCTAATTGTAAATTAATAGTAATGAAATATTATACATGCATAAGGGAATGAATTATGGTTACTAAGGGAAACCTTAGTTTAAATTTCCTTCTTTCATTATATGAAAATCTCAACTCTAACAATTTAGTCACATAAAATTTTATTTTAAATTCACACACATTAACTATATCAAATTAAATTGTAGAGATCATAACCTAGTCTTATTTCTGCTAATGTTTCTACTCACTGCTTGTGAAGAATTCTGCATCTAAAATTCAGTATATTAATTATCCAATGCTTATCAAATCTACAAGTAAAGCACCACATTAAAAGCTTTATGCAAGGAAGCAAAAATAAGGTAAAGCCCTAATGTTTAAGGAGAATAAAATTTAGTTGTAGGGATAAGATATGCACTGGCAAGATTTGTATGGAAGTAGAATCACTGTGTAACTAACATTGGCAAAGTTGGCCACATAAAAGTTACAGCAGTTCAAAAGTGAAACGTGTCTTATAAACTGGCCTTCCCTGAGAAAGTGGAAGGCTTGACTCACACATTCAAGAGAGGCTTTAGATTGGCAGGGAGGGCATTTCAACATGGCCCATTGGTATGTGCAAAATACAGTGATAGCAATATTGGAGTAAATAGCACACGGATTATTCTCTCAACTGGGCATCAGAGCCTATGGCTTAATGAAGAAACGAGCTCCTTTTCTGTGTTAGTCGTTCTTCAAATATGGGGCAGTCTCTGTGCTTCTGGTCTTGGTACTGGTTCTCTAGTCCCCCTGCCTGTGTCCCTGCAATTACTTGCTGACTCACTTTGGGTTTTTTTGATATTGTTGTTGTCTTTGCTGCAAATGACAAGATTTCATTCTTTATTATGTATAAATAATATTTTACAGTGTATATATACCACATTTTAAAAATTTATGTATCCATTGATGGGCACTTAGGTGAATCTCTCTCTATTGTCTTCTGTGCCATCCCTTTAGCATCTACCTGTCTGTCTTCATTTTTACGTATTTGATGGCAGATGACACGAATTGATGCCCCAGATCAAATTTCAGAAATCTCCCAACAAGAAAAGATCATTGTTAACGGTTTGATGTAGTACCTTACACACACGCGCGCGCACACACACACACACACACATCTATATGCACACACCACAAATATCATTGTTAACAGTTTGATGTAGTACCCCCCCATACACACACATCTATATGCACACACCACTTCTTTAAATAATAAAATTTGGTTGTTACTCTTAACAATTTTTTTCCACATAATAAACTTCCTCCTGGCATGTTTATTCTTTGCTTGTCAATAAGGCTTCTCAAACTTTGGTTTCCTAATCTGCAAAATGGGGCCAGTAATAGCTCACAAGTTTGTTTTAAGAATTGAATTGAATGAGATGACATTTGGAAAAAGCTTCAAGCACAGTCTCTGGGCCTCAGTACCTTCACATGAGTTATGTTTCTAAATTTCCAATTGCTGAGCTCTGACCTATATGGAAATGTTCCATGTCTTCCTCTTAGATTCTTTTTGCAAGACATTTGCCTGAGGAATGACTAGAAGTTGCCAAACCCATTTGTTCACTGATTCATACTATCACGTAACCTCAAGCTGTCATTTTCAGATCACACACACCCACATACCACATCTCTATTCATTTATTTATTAAAGTAACAGGGTTTTGCTATGTTGCCCAGGCTGATCTCAAACTCCTGGTCTCAAGCCATCCTCCCTCCTCGGCCTCTCAAATTTCTGGTGTTACAGGTGTAAGCCACTATGTCTGGCCCACATCTCTCTTTCTGAATAAAAAATTCCAATTTTTTGAATATGATTTCTAAGATACATTAACATCATGGGCATGGACATTGAAGTGAATTGAAAGATGATGTCATAATTTAACATTCAGAACTGGGCAATGGCACATATGGAAAAAAAGATATTGCAAGGAGGACTTGTTTGTTGGGAAGTAGGAAATATGGGCAATGGAAATATAAGATTGGTTCTAGATATATTTTACTTGCTATTCCAGCAGGCCATCACAGCAGAAACATTAAGAAGATATGTGAACATAAGCCCGGAGCTCAGAGAAGAGGGCTGCAGAAGGCATGGCTGTAATTTAGGAATCACTTACACACCTGTCTGTCGTGGGACAAATCATGATAATGCATGCATTCTCAAAATCTGATATGAAAAATATGATACATCCTTGAATATTTTCATAGTCAATTGTAAGTAATCTTGAATGTGAGTCTCAGTTTTTCCACTTGCTGCGCAGTTTGGATATAGTATTCACGCTCCTCATCGAGGACCTGGGAAAAATCTAAGACTGTCCTCCTCTTTCAAGGAAAAATAGTAGAGAACATGACTGAAGCAGGAACTGAGGCATGAGTCACAGAAGGCCTATGGAATATAAAGGATTAATATTCAGTGAGTACTTACCATGTGTTATACACCCCTCTATTATTTCCAATGTGTTTACTCATTTAATCCTAAAGAAAATTCTGTGAGTCATGCTGTCATTAGCGTCATTTTACAGATGAGGACGTTGGAGCACAGGGAACTTCATACACAGGCCAGGGTCCCTGTGGTGAGTGGCATGAGATCCTGGACAGCCTGACTCCAAGTCTGAGCTCTGAACCCTTACTGACTCTAAAGCAGTAAAACTACATGTGAAATGTCTGTGTTAGGAAAATGGAAAAGGAAATCAACAATCAAAGTAAAATCAGTATCCTGGGCAGTACATTGCCTTAGAAGAATAAAAGAACATTTCCACTGATATGGTCCTTAGGGGAATGATTTTGAATCCCAGGGAGAACATTAGGCAAAAGAGAAAAATTAGGAACGTTAAGAGCAGTTTGCATTCTAGATATCAATGAAGCTGCCTAAGGAAAGACGATTCGTTTTTCACAGAGTATCTTTGTACTTTGAGTCAAATGAAATAATGGACCACAGAGTTTTAAAAAAAAACCTATAGCAGTAGTTTAATTATATTTTAATGATAATAACAAATATACTAAGATATATTAAACACTGAATAATGTAGGCAGTTTATCAGCTGGTTATACATACTGCATTTTTTTAAGTATACATTGTATACCTTAAGGGTAAGAAATCTGTTTTCGGCTTTTCTTTCATGCTTATAATGTCGGACATATTTTGCTCATTCTATAGTGGATGCTCGCTGACTTTATTAGTTGACTGAATATTTGGATAACATAGTTCTTTTACTATTTTTAAAGACTCTGTGAATGGAGTATAATTTTATTTTGCTTACAAATATTTTACTCTAATACAATACTGCAAATATTTAAAAAGTCTTCCTATGATTCTTTGATTGAGCTATTCATTCATTTATTCTTCCATTCATTGAACATATATTACAAGCACCAAATCCCATCTTCTTTTTTTTTTTTTTTTTTTTTTTGAGACAGAGTCTCGCTCTGTCACCGAGCCTGGAGTGCAGTGGCCGGATCTCAGCTCACTGCAAGCTCTGCCTCCCGGATTTACGCCATTCTCCTGCCTCAGCCTCCCGAGTAGCTGGGACTACAGGCGTCCGCCACCACGCCCGGCTAATTTTTTGTATTTTGTATTTTTAGTAGAGAGGGGGTTTCACCGTGTTAGCCAGGATGGTCTCCATCTCCTGACCTCGTGATCCCCTTGCCTCGGCCTCCCAAAGTGTTGGGATTACAGGCGTGAGCCACCGCTTCCGGCCCAGATCCCATCTTCTGTCATCTATGCAAGGCAATCAGTGTGCAACTCTCTGATCTCATTGTTTCATTTTCTTCTCTGTTCTTACATGTCATTTTTACCAGATGTTATTTCTTACATACAAAACAAGTATTTTCTTAGCCCCACTTTCCCCTCCAGTTACTGCCCCATATCTTCGTTCCTCTTTTGAGCACAATGCCTTGTCTGAGTTCTCTTAGCCATGGTCATTAATTACCTTGCTGTCAGCTTCTATTTGGTGCACATCAATCAGATTTGCCACACCGGTCTCTACAAATTCCGAATGTAAAGAAGCACCAACAACTGCAACACTGCCAAGTCTAAATGTCACTTCTTGGTCGACATCTTAATTGCCCCATCTGGAGCATGTGACCTGGTTGTTTCATCCTATCTCACTGGTCACTCCTGCTAGGTCTCCTTAAAGGATTTTCCTCTGCTGACATGTGGATGTTGGAGTGCACCAGGGCTACATCCTCGGAACTCATGACACTGGAAATCTAACAAGTCTCTTGAAAGAACTATCTCACCAATTCAAAAGAAGCAACTGTTTTGTGTCCAACTAAGACTGAAAGTAGAAGCTTTCTTATAGCAGAAAAGATTTCTTGCTTGATCTCAAAGAGAACTTTTGAAAAGAAGGAGGGTATAGAGAGGAGGCTGTCTGGGAGATGAGCAATTTGATAAAAGAGTGATCTGGGGAATCATCCCCATACTTCAGTCTCAGTATAGAAATGACCCTGAACTGGTAGGAAAGGACAAGTGCAGCTTGGAAGGGAGTCTGCTCAAATAACTGTGTCTCTTCAGACTTACATTTGTCAAATAAATCTTAGTATAGTTTCTAGGCTCATAAACTTGGCAAAACCAAAGGTTCTATAAGTTTATATTTGTGTGTGTGTGTGTGTGTGTGTGTGTGTATGTATGTGTGTGTAGAGATGTAATCTGTAGACATAGGCAAGGTGAGGTAAATAAATTGACTATAGCACATAGAATAGTTATTACATGATGGGTATTTCATGAATTGACTGATCTGTTCTATAAAACAGGGGTCCTCAACTCCCAGGCTGTGGACCTGTACCAGTCCTTGGCCTATTAGGAACCAGGCTCCACAGCAGGAGGTGAGCAAGCATTACTTCCTGAGCTCCGCCTCCTGTCAGATCAACATTAGCATTAGGTTCTCATAGGAGCATGAACGCTATTGTGAACTGTGCATGTGAGGGATCTAGGTTACGTGTTCCTATGAGACTAACAACTGAAGATATGAGGTGGAACAGTTTCATCTCAAAATCATTGCCCCTGCCCCCTCACCACCCACCCCATCTGTGCAAAAATTCTCTTCCATGAAATCAGTCTCTGGTGCCAAAACGGTTGGGGACCAATGCTATAAAATAAGAATTCCACTCATTCTTATAATTTCTAAATTGAACCTTTCCAGAAAGATCTGTTTAAGACAAACAACCCAAAAAACACTTTAAACTTCTACAGCTAAATGCAAGAATTATTATCCCTTTTATCTACTCTAAACGTTAAGCTCTACTAAACACTAATTCATAGTTTAATTATGCCAGATAGACGTTCTTTAAAACTTGACTACTTTGAGCTTAGTTTCAGAGTAATGTAGAGAATGCAATGGAAAGAATCATTTAACTGGAAAAAAAGTTATTTTCATTTGGGAGCTGATAATGCTCCCTCTCTTTCTGCTTCTTCCAATGCTTCGGCAAAGTATTGAAAATATATAGTATAATGTAACCAGCTTAATTTTCATGCAATTACCTTTATTAAACTATATATAAAGACTTAGGTTTTCAAAAATTGCATGGGTGGGAAAACCCACCTGTTCACACAACTGTGGATGGGGACTCTGCATCCCTGGGTGGGTCCCAAGTTGTTTTGTTGATTTTTTTAAGAATATGTGTATTAACCCCTAATACCAATTATATCATCGTTATCATTCTCTCTTGTGTCTCTCACTTTCTCTTTCCCTCTTTCTCCATACTTTCTCCCTCCCTCTGTCCTTCTTCCACATCTGCTTCTTTTAAACATTATATCAATCCCCTCTTGAATCTGGACTTACATACTGAGAACTTCACAAAAAGAAAGGAAAAGTGAGAGATCCCCCCAGATCCAGTAGCAACATTCCAGGAACGACACAAATCGATCTGCTTAGGGGACGAATACCCTGGCCTGAACACAGTGGCAAGGTATGTATGATGCCACCACAGTGGCCACAGTGGTGAAGTGCTGTGAGTATCAGCTCTTACTGGAGCCACGAGTTTGAGCAGGAATGAGTATTTCTAGTCAACTTCGTTGAACTCCCTAGTCCCTCAATTGCTTAATTTTTGGGGGGGGGTGTCTATCATGCCCACCAGAACCCTTCACACCCTTCACAGTGTGGGCTCCATATTTGATCATCAAAACTATTTTTACTTCAATCTATGATGCTGTCAACATAGCATTGGTAACAACATCTACTTTTCACATTCTTACACCCAGACACAGGGATCCATTTGGAGAAAATCATGCAGATATGCAGTTGGGAACCATTACACCTTCATTGTCTCTAGGGTCAGCCAGACATTTGTCAGTGCTCCTCAAGCTTCTCATTGTCATTTGTTAGCTCATGCACTCCCTCTGCCTACTGCTACCTCAAACCTTCCCCAGTCTTCTCAAAATCAGATCTCTTGGCCCTTGGCAGATGATATTTTCCTTCATTTATTGAAAACATTTCAAGCATCTGGCATAGTGCTCCCACCTCACTTGACAGCCCTCTGTCCCCAGTAATATTTACAAATATATGCCCATCTGTGCATCTCTTATCTATTTCCTTTTAGATTCAGAGGACAAGAGCTCCTTCAAAGCCAAGTCAGTCACTCAAGCTATTAACACATGCCTCACCTGCTAACTGCAAGACCTAGCCCTGTCCATCCCCATTGTTTCTGGTGTCATGAGCCGCTCCCTGTTCTAAGAACATTTTCTCCTCTACGCAATCTTAACTCTGCTATATGTAAAAATAGAACTACCACTCCCTGGCAGGTGCTGCACAAACTCACACCCCTCACACACACCATAAAGCTCCCCTTGAACTGTGCTTCTCACTTTAGGGCCCCTGCTGATTACTTGCATGGAATTTTTTGGAAAAGCAATTTTCATTCACTGTCTCTAACCTTTCAACCCGAATCCCTGCTCAACCTGTTACCTTCTGGCTTATATGCTTAGTCCACACAATTATTTTAGTAAGGTTTTAACCTATTTGTCAAATCCACTGGGCAATTTCAGTTGTTTTGCTAGACTTCCTTTTTAACGTTTATCTCCGTTAGCCAATCTCGTCTTCAAACTCCCGTTCCCATGGCTTCTGTGACACCACACTCTCCACTGGCACCTCTAACCATTCTTTTCTGTCTTTTTAAGACCTCTCATTTTTTTCTGCCCTTAAAATATTATTGCTCCATATTTTTGTGATTCTATTACTGTCATATTGATCTTCTCAACCATCATACTGTGTCTGAAATCAGATTGATACTGTAATATCTTGAGTGTTTCCACATGGATGCCTTCCTCAGTAGTCAATGGAATTTCCAAAATTGAACCTATCATCTTTTTTTTTTCTAAGCTGATAACATCTTCTATTTTTCTCTTTTTAAGTTATGGTACTAATATCTACATGCAATTCCTGATAGTATTAATTATAGTACCTAGTTGACATTTAT